TGAGTGCATTTCAGACTTTGCCGATGCGCTCATCGTGATTTTTGAGGCATTATCTATAAGAAACAACTCTTATTTTTGCTCTAGCAAAAGTTTGCAACAGGCCCATTAGACACATTGTTTTAACTAAACAAGCACGAACAGTGGAGTAATTAACAAAATATCGTATAGTTCGCTTTCACTTCTTCTTCCTCTCTCAGTTGGCCCTAGGGTTACAAGAACCATACTTATTACCTACTAGGAAAAATATTGATCACCTAACTCAATATTTTTCCCGACTTTGTAAGTGGGATTTTTCCCTGGGACAAATCCCGTGAAACGGCCCGTGGAGAAAAGGCCGAAGAGTTTCGAGGAATTTCCACATATGGTAGCACAACATGAGCTGTTGAAGTCATGTAGTCATGCTGTTTGCAATACGCTCAACATTACAGTTACTTGAAAACGATAAGTAGCACCAGTAGTTATCAAATTCAACTGGAATGCAAAGTCTGATTTTTTTGTTTAAAAAGCCATAAAACGCATTAAAACCTCGAATAAAATCATACTACGTTCCAAAAAAACAGGTACTCTTAAAGGAACAATACCTAAATCTCAATTATTCTTCATTCTAGAACTAGGGGGCTACGCCCCCTGGCCGCTACGCGGCCCAACCCCCTGAAGGCGCTCCGCGCCATCAATGGGCCGCTTCGCGGCCCTATTTTTACCCTCCTATCAGTGTTAGTTTTATTTTTCCCCTAAAAAATTACGATATGAGGTATACTTCAATTTTAAACTTTACTTAAAATTACTTTAAAATTAAAAGGACGCGTTTTAGAATGACTGATTGATGAAATATTGCAGTAAAACAATGAACAATGATAGTCAGGTAATAATCAAGATCTCATGAGTCGGGGATCGATCCCACTTTGAGTTCATTGTGGACGCACTCGACGTCTTACAAGGGGAGGCTACAGACTGTCCCCCTCAGATCGGGTTCAAATTTGGCAGAGAGGTAGAATAGGTTAATATATGAACCCGTATTTTTTTTAGGTGCCAATGCCCAGCCGTTTTTGAGTTATGAATTTTTGAAGTTGCCGTTTTTTTGTGTCAGCGACGCGCTCAAGTTGAGCCTACTGTGCGCGCACCTTTTAATGAGATCCGAATGTCGGTAGGTTCATGTGAGATAGTTGTCCAAGCTGTAGCGCGCTCGCCTATGGTGCTGCAGGCTCGGAGTTCGATACTTGTTCCGTGAATTTAATTTTTATAATTGATTATTTTGTTTTTTAATCGCTTCATCACAAGAAATCGTAAGTCACCTTGTAGACGTTGTGATGCTAATAATGTTTTTTTTCCTTTTTTGTCAAACACTCAATAAAAAAAAAAATAAAAAATAAAATATACTTAAAAAATAATTAGAATCATAATAGATGTTAACCCAAATAATGATGTAATTTTATCTGTTCACCCAAATTAATGATGTTATTTTCTTTATTCAATCAAATTAATTTACATTCAATGTTCTTAAAGCAATATTCTCTCCAAAATTTAGCAAAAAATAACAATTTTTACGCCAAAAAGAAGAAGAAGAAGATAAAAGAAATAGCAACGACATGAAAGTAGTATAGCACACATACAACATTTCACTTATTCGGAACCTTTTTGATGTTGGTCTATCATCTTGTTTTTCTTCATTTAAAAGAAAATAAGTCACACTGTCATCAAGAGATTAATTCATAAAATAACACGTCGTAGTTATCTTTTGTAATTTTCCTCCCTTTGGTGATTTTGGTTTTTATTATTTGGAAGTTCAACTGTGATCAGCATGTATAAAATATCTAAGATGAAATTTGTTGGTTGGACTTTACATCACAACATATACCCTTCAATTTTGCAGATACCACAAGGACATTCAACAAGCACAAATAGTTGTATGAACCCGGCGTTATGAAGGGGCGTTGTTTAGCTACTTTAAATAAAAAGTGTCCAAGTTTTGTGGCCGCGTTTGGACAGTGGGTAAGAATGAGAAAAACCAAAGAATAAAAACAGCGCATTACTTTACATCCTTTGGCTCATAAAGGAGTTAAAGAAGAAAAAGTTGGAAGCAAATGACACAGGGCATCGCCGCATTGACTCGAGGAAAAGTACCTAGTTCGGATTAAAAAGTTTACACATATAATTAGAACTTATTTCAGCTAAATACTAATTGACACAAACACGCATCCGAAAAAATTAAATACGAAAAATGAAAAAGGAGAGAAAGAAAGACAAGAAAATTCAAATACTTTATGATAAGGCCCTGATTTCTTTCAAAATAAAAAAAATAATGGCTTCCTAAAAATAGCGTCAGATGGAAAACAGTTCAACAAACTTTGAATGACATGCTAAGTCGATACAGCAATACTAGTAATTAAAAATTCAGACAAATTATTAAAAATACTGCTAGTACAGCCGTTTGTCTTCCCTCGGAGGTTCCTCGCGTTTTTGCTTTGACAATAAAGAGCGGTATCATTAGATCGAAACAGTAAATCAATGAAGCTTGGGAAAATAGAAAAAAATAAATAACAGAAGAAAATAAAAAAAAAATCGCCGTCATGCCGCAAAAAAGGAACAACTTCTGCAATTTTATCAGCCATAGGTAAATGTTTTGACTTTTGCTAAATCAAAAGCAGACCCCAATAGGTATCCATCATAAAAATGGTATACCCAATGCTAAGTGATTTATCAAACATTTCTCAAGTTCCCATGCTAAGTATTGCTATCGCACTGCGATTGCAGACACCAGCATTGTTTAAAGTTTGCTTCGATATAGGTACCTACACTGCGTGGAGCGTGGAGGAAACTTTTTAAAGGTTTAACCAACTTGAACACTAATGTCTTCTTCTTCCCCTTCTTGTAACAACTAGGGCGCAGCCTTGTTTGTCAGACCATCAAGTATCAAGCACAAGAAACTAAATATAAGTATTAAAAATCTAAAAAAATCACTATAAAACAAAGGACTTGTCAAATCAATATAATAACAAACTAAAATCGTTAATCATCCTCTGGAGAGGAGAGTCATGCTTTGTGCCCATCTCTCAGGCGGTCGTCCAGGTAATCTTTTCCCAATGGGTTGTCCGGTCATACAAATTTTCGCTAGTCTCTCTTCATCCATTCGATCAACGTGCTCCGACCACATCCTTCTCCTCACACTGTTCCACTTGGCTGCATCTCGCACCCCAAGAGCATCCCTGATGGACTCGCTGGTCTGCCGATCCCGAAGTGTAAAACCAGCTATCTTTCTTGTGGCCTGGTTACACGATCAAATTCCCGTCAAATTCCGATGAAAATGATGACCAAGATGGCGGTCGAGAGTTATCTAGATTGATGAGTAAAATTAATTAATACAGCGTGTTGATTGAAATAAGCATGAAATAAGCACGGTTGTGTGGAAATCAGAGGAAGGATGAGCCCCACAGCTCCATCATCTACAATCAAATTTTTGCAGGTCGCAGAAATTTGATGATAGATGGTGCGCACCAGTCACCATTTGATCGGAATTTGACGGGAATTTGATCGTGTAACCAGGCCATTAGAACTTTCACCTCAACGGTGCGAAATTGTTGTTTGGTGCGCTTTGTTTCAGCCCCAGTCTCTGCGGCAAACGTTGACACTATTGTCAAACTTCGAAAATAAGAGACACCCTGCGCACTTCAGACTTTGACTCCTTCCAGTGTACTCTTCTATTGTTGACTTAACTTACTCTCAGCATCACATGTCGAGACTTCGTCCGGCCAATCACATCGAATGGTTACTTCATTGAAAGCAAGTCCCTCCGGACAGGTTTGGACGTAGCCTATTCCGTTGGCGCAGTTCGTATACTGGCTGCAGTGTGTTTGGTCTCCCAGCCGGTAGTAGCCAAATTGGTGCGGACACTCTATCGTTGGCCTGGCGGCTTCTAATTTTAAAGCAAATTATCTTTTTTAAAGTCAGGACGGAGAAGGAGTCGAGATACTGCAGAGTTTGAGATCGCATAAAAGGCTGAATACCCAAGTAGCTCAGATTGCAATAAGTAGCAATTACATTGTAACAATACTGCGATTCCCCTGAGTGTTGTGTATGTTGCCTAGCTCCTATTTGAAGGAGCCCCGTTTATTGAAACTTATTGCAATAAAATTGGAAGAAGTTGCAATTTTTCAGTGCATTGCATATTGCCTATTTTTCTGACACATTGAGCTCATTTATTGATTTTCAAAATCTGCATAAATCGACTAAATGATGTAAAAATATTGCAATTTAATGGTAAAAAAAAAAAAAATTGTATTGAAATCAAATTGCAGTTTAATTTCAATATTTTCGTCGCACTGTACTTAGGTAAATGCAAAACATAGACTTTTCAGAGGCATGCGTGAAGTGAATATCCTTTATAACTTCATTCTAAGGAGCAAAAAGAAAATATTGTTATTCACTCATTACGGAAGGGTTTTGTGGTAAAAGCTGCTCATTTACGTAATTCGATACCCATTTAGTTATTCTTTCATAATCACTTGAGCGTGCATGAAGGAATTCATTCATTATTTTTTTAAAATTTGTTTTATTGTTTTTTAATAGTATCATAAAGGGACCGCTGGTTACAATTTACTACTCTCCATGAAATTGACCATTTACTTATCTACTTAATTACTGAACAGGCACTTAAGTGTACAAAACTGTGAGAAAGAACAGAACATACCTAATCATGGAATATATTATACTGAATGGACGTATTTAATCACAAATAGATTCCTAATGACTCTCCACAGAATCAATAGTACCTAGAAGGATTGCCCAGGAAAAATTTCCGATTTGTAGTAATGATTTTGAATGCCCAAACGGTAGGTACCTATAGGTTACTGAAACCCATAGACCGTTTTAGTGTTACGTCACATTTCTAGATTATATCGCGATTTATTAGGCCTGGTGCCCTAACCGGGATTTGGTCGGTTCGATTTACATGGGATTTCCAATGAGGAACGGAAAGTCAATTTTCAAACACTGATCCTGGGTAGTTTTAGACAGTTTCTGCCGAATTTTCTAACGATTATGAGTTCTATATATCCTCAAACGTATACGTTTTTATCTCGTGAATCCCCAACATCGCATCGGATAAATTAGTTATACTTAGAGTCCCTTTATACTGAGAGTCAAGACAATGTGAATCCATTTCTGATTGGTTCCCGTATTTTAGGCCTTCACAGTGTCACAAACGGGAATAAAGATTACATTTTCACCGATTGCAAAGATTATAATCTGGAATGGACCAGGGAATTACAGGTTCGGCAAGGAACAAACGGAATGAGAGAAGGAACGGAGAAAGGGATTTGATGAGAATGGGCCGATCAAATGGCCGTATAATTTTTCTAATTCTACCTCCTTACTCTCAGAATTTAACTTTACTAACAATTCTGCAAATTTATTTCTATCGAAAACCCTTTTTTTCAAATTCTTATTTAATCTACTTTTTACCTCTCCTATCCCCCTCACTACGGCTTTCACCCAACTGTGGTCACTAAGGTCAACCGAGGTCGGCCTCCTATGGTGTAGTGGTTGTAGCGCTTGCTCTACGATCGGGAGGTCCCGGGTTCGATTCCCGGCCAGGCGACCCGAGTTTGATGGTCTCAAACAATGGTTGCCTGGGACTGGTTCAGTAGAGACGGAGGGGGGATGGGACTTAAAAGCGTGGGGTTAGCCCTTAAGGGCTATGTGAAGTAGAAAAAAAAAAAAAAAAAAAA